TGCAAGCTACACAAAGCTACACAAAGCTTGTAGGTCTGCACATATTCTCCCCTTATTAGAGAGATTGCTAGGGAGGGCAGGCCATTTTTATCTATGCTTTCTCCTCCAGGACACTAACCCGGTTACCACATATGCAGTGGCAAAGTTCTGTGCTGCTGCAATGTCCATAAGAAAAAAAAATGGCTACAGAAGTATAGTACCATCTTGTACCAATTATCTGGACATACTTTAACAATCTTTGGACCATTATGTTATTATCCACTTTTAATGTCAATACTTTTTAATTATATTTTAATGTTAGTATTTTTTAACATAGTGTAAAAACTAATGTGTATTGCTGCTCTTTGACCATAATAAAGATTTTACTTACTTACTGCTTCTCTTGGTGATATCTCATTTCTCATTTCTCCGTGCTATTTTTAAAAAGATGCTGTATTCTTATAAACTTTGCCATTTAACTGCACAAAATCATACCTTTTCCCTGGTAATATTGAGGAATGTTTCGAGATGCATATCATCTTGCATAAGTAAGATGTGGTGCAAACAAAAAACTTGTTACAAAGAACTCTTTATTGGGCGTATAGGAACTATTAAACTCATATTGGACTTCTCAGAAAAGGATTGGATTTGAACTCTGGAAAACTTCCGTCTCTTCTGGAAACATACATATAAAGTAGCAGTACTGTAGACAGTAATAACTGACAACTAAGACTAAAATTGTTGACAATTTCTTGATTTGCCTGGTTAGCTTATGTATAGAAGTCATTAACTATTTATAAAATGCATTATGAATTGAATTCCTTCAAACTGTTGTAGTATGTGTGATATTTTCTAGCACAAAGTCTCAGGCTTGCAATCGGCTACAGTGTAAATGTATACTCAGTAAAGATTTGCAAAGTTGAGAGCCTAACACACTTTTATTCTTTTATTTTGGTTACATTAAATTTCTCTTGCCATCCCTAATGACATTCAACTTCATAAAAAGTTCTTAGTAAGATTATTAGAGTTATTATTTTAAAGACAAATGAGACTACTCTGTTGATATTTTAGATAGATGCTAAGAGAACAAATAGGCACTTTAGTTCAAAGACTTGATCTTCTCTGTGATCAATTCATTTTGGAATGAAATTATGATCAAAAGTAGTATCAAATTATTTATTGATGAATATTGTACAGTTGCTTCTAATTGTAGGCAAAAAGCTTAGTAGTTTTATAAAGCTTTTATTATTGAGAATGTGACAAAAAAGGTCTGTGACTATACATTAGCTGTGCTAAGAATGATGTAACTATATTGCACTAAATAGTTGTACAATGGAATCTAAATATAAGACAGACTTCTAGCACAGCTTGCCATGTTTGATTCATGTTATATATTTTCCAACAGATGTTATTTTATAGAACCAACTCTAGGTTTTAAAACCTGCATGCTTGGAGTTGGCCTATTTTCCAGTCCAGAACTTTATTCATTATGATAGCCTGTTGATGACTGCATGATACATATAGCTAAAGCAAGCCGGATGAAGAGTCAGAGTCAAAAGAGGATGAACTCACCAATCTATCTCTGATGTTTTCTTTTTTATCTTTCTGGTTATCTCTTCTGACCCTTATAAACATTAGACTGCAAGAAAGTGCAATTAGGTTTTCCTAGAGTGCTTACTGTATTTTTCGGCGCATAAGACACACCGGAGTATAAAGTGCAGCAAGGTTTTGAAGAGGAAAACTAAAAAAAAAAGTTTTTGCACTCTGTGAACCTCCCAAAAATGGCCTGTTTTTCACCAAAACGGGCCCATTTCCCCCCCCCCCCAAAAGGCAAAATAGCCTTAGGAGGCTTATAGAGTGCTCCTGGGGATGGGGTGGGGGCCAAAAATGAGCAAAAAATGCCCTGTTTTTCATGAAAACAAGCCCATTTTTTGTAATTAAAAAAAAGCATGGATAGTCTTTAGGAAGCTTATAGAATGCTGCTGGGGGCTGGGGGCAAAAATGGGCCATTTTCCATTCATTTCTGCCCTTCCCAGGCCCCAGGACCTCTCTGAAAGCCTTCTAAATGCTATACATAGCCATTTTGATGAAGGGGCAGAGTTTTGAGAGGCAAAATTGCTGTATTCAGTGTATAAGATGCACCCAGATTTTCAGCCTCTTTTTTGAGGGAAAAAGGTGCGTCTTATACTCCAAAAAATACGGTAGCTGATCTTTTGTGCCAGCGGTCACCAATCTTTTGGGCACCAGGAACCACTTCCATGGAAAACAATTTTCCCACAGATCGGAGAGATAATGGTTTTGAGTGCTACCTCGATCTCATGCATGCACAGATGAAGATTCATTGGTTCCTAATGTGCCATGAACTAATAGTGGGCCACGAATTGGGATTTGGGGAACCCTGTTCTATGTAAAGGTTTTGAATTTACAACAAAGGATATATGAATTAAAGTAAATTCACATATCCTTTCTTGAGGGGTTTTCTGATCCCCTCAACTGCCTACCCTGCCTCTAAAGAGTCATCTTTCATATAATGTAGAGCATTATTGGAAACCCTTGAATTCATTAAAGTGTAATTATTTGTTGCACTTCTAGAGTATATGTAAAAGATATACAAAATAAAACAAAATAATGATATAATTTATTACAGATACTTATGGGATGTACAGGAAATGTTAGAGAAAAGAAAAACAGAATACTGTAATGTAATGTTTATTGCATTTGTATGCCACCCTATCCCGAGAGACTCAGGGCGGCTAATAAGCAAGGGGGGAAGGGAAATGCAAACAAAAGACAAAACAGGCAAGTATGCTTAACATTATTATTGTCTTCATCAGTATATCATGCTATAGAGTTGAGACTGAAGAACTTTAAATCATTACCATATTGTATCTTCTAGGATGCTGAATTGGTCATATGTTTGCTTATGGGGAGAGAAAGATCTGTTTGAAAGGATGGATTGTTTGGGGTTGTTGTAGGCCTGAAAGAATATGCATAGTTTACCCAGTAGCTTAGAAGAAGGCAGACTTGGGGTAAGTCATGGTTTGCTGTTAAATTGCTGGAATTAAATCACTATATATTATATCTATTGGGAGTTGTTTGATCAAGGATGACTAAGCTGTTAGACATTAGCAGTATAAAGTAAGAAGCCTTAAATAGAACAAAAGAATTGGATCATGACTAACATGTGTTTGTAACTTCATTCCTTTTTTATATAAAACGAACACAAAATAAGGTATTATTTAATTGAGCATTCTATTGTTGGCTTTTTAGCAAAAAGAAAAAAGAAAAGAAAACAAAAACAAAATCGATCTCCATATGAAATTCTTGCATACTGCAGTCTCCCATTGTGATGAAATGAATAATTTAATCAGGGACTGTGATACCAGAGCTTCTTTAAAAGTTCCCACTTCCTTTAATGCTGTAATGGCTATTTTCACTTTGTTAATGTGAGATTGTTCTTCCTGATATATACACATAATAAATAATAATAATAATAGTAGTAGTAGTAGCTGTAGTAGTAGTGGTGGTGGTAGTACTAGCAGCCGCAGCAGCAACAGCTTAAAATGTATTTTCTATTAAGTAGCAGTTGTGACACACTGAAAAAGATATTTTCAAAAGTATTTTGCATTTTACCTCTGAGTAAAATGAAGGATTTCATTTAACTAGTATTGTATTTGGTTTCTCTGTTTGCTAGTTTGTGATATCTCAATATTTTGGGACTGGTAGGTCCATTTCACAATTTTAAAAAATGTAACCAGAGCAAATAATTTGGCTAAATGTTTGGCAGTTTACAAAATGGCTGCTAAAATGGCATGACCTCAGGCAGAAACATCATTTTCTAAAAGGCAAATTAGCATTTTGTTCTCTACATCCCTTTTATTTGTTCCCATCCTCATCAACCAACTATTAACCTTTAGCTTTCCTTTATCTTTTTTCCTAAGTAAATGGACACATTTATAACCAAAAGACTGAGCTTAAACCACTTATCATTTTTACTTTATAAGAGTAAGAGTGCCTAGACCACGTAGCAAATTCAGAGGCATTTTTGGAAATATCAATGATTCTGGAGGCTCTTGTGCTTTTAGTATATGCTAGTTTTCCATTAAATTCCATTAAAAATATGCTTTAAAAATAAAGTTGATTAGGGCATCACCCTCATGCATGTTTTATGCACAGAACAAAAGCAAAACTAATTGCATGCATGCATGCATGCATGCATGCATGCATACATACATACACACATACATACATATATACATTTGTTTTCTGATGTTTTTACAGGTGTTTGTATGTAGGTCTTTGGTTATTCGGGTTTTCTCCCGTGTAAAATTGGAAGTGTCTTGGCGACGTTTCGACGAAGTCTCATTTGTCATCTTCAGGGTGGTTTACTCGGCTTCGTGCTTCCAGGAGCAATGTGAGATCACAGCTGTTTCTTCCTTTTAACTGCCAGTGGGGGTGTGAGCTGATTGGGTGGGAGCTTGGTTGTGTTCTGATAGGGTGGAGGTATGTTCTGATTGGTTGGGGGTTTGTGCTCGGCTTAGTCTGAGTTGCTGGGGGATTTGAGTTGTTGAGCTGCGTTGCTGTTGTTTGGCTTCGTGTTTGTGGCCGTGCCAGCTCTTCATGGTGGGTGTCAGTCTGCTTCATGTATGGATTGGAGGAGTTTAAAATGGTTAGTGATGCANCTTGCCTCCAGAAGTTGTGAATGATCCAACACTGGAAGTTTTAAAAAAGAGATTGGACGACCATTTGTCTGAAATGATATAGGGTTTCCTGCTTGGGCAGAAAATTGGACTAAAAGATCTCCAAGATCCCTTCCAACTCTATTATTCTATTCTATTCTATTCTAAAATGATGCAAATGTGTAGAGTTAAACTAGTACAAATCTTGAAAAAGAATGATTAATATACTTATGAAGTGAAAGAATATGGATGGAAAAAACATGAATATGATATTATGCAAAATGAATGTGGAAGAAAAGTATAATGTGTACATAGAGGAAAAATATAATAAGAGCAAAGAATATTTAAGATGAAAAGCAACATGAACATTTAAAATATTTTAATGAAATCTTCAACAGAGTGAATGGAATTAAATATGAAATAGATGAAATTCTCAGAATGCAACTGAACTCAGGGAATCTTGAAAAAAATTGTATGGGAATTATGGCAATATTAAAATAAATGCTAGAAATGTTAATTTCAAAGAAAAAATAAAAAGTAAGTCATCACTGTTATAAGATGCAGGTACAGATAGAACATCTGGAAAAATGTTAAAATATAGATGTGATTTGTTTATGAAGTGGCTGGATGACTTGTTTTAACATGTGTGAAGACATCTGTGTTTAATGGTTGAAAGAATGCTGTTATTGTTCCTTTATACAAAAGGAAAAATAGAAGGGAAGCAAGAATGAATGCAACAAACTTTCTGTGTATGAAAGTGGATGGATTAGTTTAATAAGTATGTCTGGGAAAATGTGTAGAATTTAATTGAAATAATTGACAGTGAACAAAACTGGAGCAATGTAGTTTGGCTTTATGCCAGGCGGAGATATGCAGAGCAGATCTTTGCTCTTCAACAAGTCAATAAGAAAGATATCAATGTAAAAAAGAAAACTTATGTTGTTGATTAGGAGTATAGCAAAGTGTAGCAAGGTTTTTTTTTTGCACGGATAGAAGATATGGAATGTATAGTGAATAGTCCTGGTTAAAATAGATTTAGTTAGGCTTACTTTTATTTTCTCCTATCACTAATATTTAATTTCTTTTTAAATTACTCCTTACTATTTTCTGCAATGTTGCTTACACATTTGTGAAATGTGACCAAATTTCCAGCACCATGACTGTCATTCCTAACAAATCAATATACCATTGATATCTAAAAATTATTACTTTGAATTGTCTACAAATCCTTTCAATTTAGATTTTTGATGAATAGTTTAATTACTAATGACTATGTATTACATCTGAAAATGAATGAGGCCATACATAATGCATAGATTTCTGAAAAATTGTGTCGCTGTGAAAAATTGAACTGTTTTTCTGTGAAATTTGGAACTTTAAATGTTGAAAAGATAGTGAAGAATTTCTCATATATTCAATATATGTTTGTAGGGTTGCCATTTGAGTTCACTGTTTGGGACAATTGGTTGTAGGATTCCTGCTTCGAGGGGGGGTGGAGCTGCAGCCGGTGCAGCTGGAGCGTGTTTGCAGCAGTGCCTTCTGTTTTTATTTTATTTTATTAATTTTTAGTACTCCTACTNACTTATTTTCCACCATAATTTGCAAAAAAAATATTTCCAAATCAGACAATGTGATTGTTTGGATTTGTTTTCTCATTTTGTCTCAATGTGCAGTTTACAAAAGGTTTAGGAAATGAAATTATGTATTTAAATTAACTTTCTAAACATCTATATAGTCTGTGTACAGGCTATATAGTTTAGTATAGAAACTAAGGTAAATTCTGTAGACCTTATCTAATTGATGGAGATTGCCAATCTAGCTTTGTAACATCAATCTTTTTGCAATCTTGAAAACAATCAATATTCATTTCTGTTGTCTTCAAGTTTGCTTATAAACCAATGGTACTTAATTCAAAAGAACATGAGAAAAACCCAGTGAATTCTTTAGAGCAAATTAACCAAAAAGAAACCAGTAACACAACTGACTATGGCCATGCATTGCATTATGAGCAATTAGTTGTCTAATTCTTCCTCATTTTAAATCCACATATGTTTGCTTGAAAGTCTTGTGTTATCATTTGCATTGTACATGTTCATCAAATTAGCTTTGGCATAGGATGCTATTGCATATTAACTTTCATTCTCAGTGTTATTATTTTCACTTGTTTTACATGATATTGGAAAAAGATAAAACACAAGGTACTGCATTTAGTTTAAGTCCAGCATATATTCTGTGGTAAAAAATCTAATATTCAAGAAGAATTTCTTTTATTGAACTTACCTCTTGTTGAAAAAAGAGCACATTATTTTTTCCCCTGAACAGCAGCTTTCAGTAATTCTTTGCATTTCAGTTTACATAAATCAATCAAACACCCAATGAAAAGTATATATTTTCCTTGTCCATGTTTTTTTCCCCTTTGAGTGTAGGGTAGTGATTTTACTGTGTGGTTCCAATCAATGGGATTCTAGGCTTTGCCATTAGCCTTTAGGCATATAAGAATTTTTACTTTAAAAGTTTTACATTTGATATATGGTGGCTGGAGTACAACAAACTGTCAAATTTCTTCCCCCTTGCTCTTTTTTATGATTTTTATTTTTGTTACTGGCATATCTGTGCATAATAATTTAATTATTAGAGGGAAACTCTTAATTGTAGAATCTGAAGTATATGACATGCAAAGTAACCATTGTTCTTTTAATATTGGTAAAAATATAGAGGATATTGTAATCAGACACTTTTACTTAGAACAGGATTATAGAAAACAATAGGAGATTTTAGGATTGGAGAAAGAAGGAGAATGCAATTTAGTTCATACTAAATCTAATGGGAAAGGTTTTGCATTTCTTTTTTCTATAAAGATGCATGGTGCTAGGATAATTTGATGTAACAATAATAAACCACTCTAAACTAATTGGTGATTTTTATTACATTTGTCATCGTTTTGTTAAAACAACTTCTTGAGAAGTTTAGAAATTTGTATTAAGTAGGTATCCATTAGAGGGCTCTCGAGGTTTTGAGTTTAGCAACCTTGATAGTGATAGTTCCAGAGCTTTGCTTGCTCACATTTCTTTGTTTTTCTTTTTTCTTTTACAGAAAAGGTCACGGATTGCCTACAGTGACGAGGTGCGGAATGAGCTCCTAGGGGATGATGGGAATTCCTCAGAGATCCAGGTAGGATGCTAATCAAGAAGCCCTAGTGGGTGGCTGGAGGGTGAAGGAGGTCATTGGCACACTGGGCTTCTCAAGCTGCTTCTTAACAGCATTAGTAACAACTCATGTGGAAGTGATACTGTTTAATGCAAAGCTGGGGTCTTAATCAACTTCAAAATGATTCTTGGAGATCTTACAATTTAACCCTTTACCTTGGATCCCTGTCTGCTATTTAAAAAAAATAAACAAAAAACCAAAATATTTTATTCTCTTTTCTTTATTATTTTGTACTTAAGCAGTACTTTGAAACACAGTGTTTGCCAACAAACCCAAACACATGTAAAAGGAATATAAAGTCACATAATACAGCTTTGATAAGAGGGAAATATAATTAAATCAACACTGGAAGGCAAAACAAATGAAAATGGGATTTCAGAATGTGACAGTTTCTTTTCCTCTCTCAGAGTAGTTCCTTCTTTGAATCAGATTCTTTTCTATGTACAAAGCTGAAATTATATCAAAACTATATAAGTGTAACTGGCTTAGTATAAAATGTTAGCATTTTTAAGAAATGTGAAAAATTTCTAAATGTTTTATTCTGAATCTCCAATATTTGCAAGTGTTCAGGATACTTTTTAAAGTTATTTTGTTTTCATGGGTATGCACTCTTCTTTTACCCAAAGATTAGTTTATAATCTTAAAGATCTTTTTTTTTTGCTTTAATACATTATACAATTTTTAGATAAAGTTTGGACAACTTCACACATAAGAAAGATAATGTACATTGGAGTAATGTGAATTGGTGAAGATAAAAGTATAATTATTTAATATTGTGAAAAGTTTGCACTGTTTGCCACTGTTCTACTTCTGTAATAACTTTGATCAAGATGCTTAGAATGTATTATTTGTTACTTTGTTTTACTTTGTTTCTCTAAAGTACATTAATAGAAGAGTTAAAGCAAATGTCTATAGTATTTGTTATGCATCAAAATAGAATATATATGTGATATAACTCAGACAAAAAAATCTAGTGAACCTTCAACTTTAAAACTGCCTAGAGTTGTTGGGAGTGGGCCAAAATATACATTTAATAATTTAATAAATAAAAATATGAAAATTTAGGTGGCTATGCCTTTATTTTATGCTCCATGATCTGTTAACATATATGCTAACATATATAGCTAATGTATTTCAGTAATAGTATTTTTTACACTTAGCTTGTTTTCTCTTTTCTTTTTAAACATCTGAAAGAAGACACATCTTTCAGAAAAGTTCTTAAAATATTTAGCAATTTTCGCAGAATTTATTTATTTTATTAAATTTATTGGTGACCTATCTTAGTAGAGGATAATTCTGCCAAAACATTGGTATTACTTTCAAATTTAAATTTTTCACATTGCTTTCATATAATGAACTTTGAAAGAAAATAAATACCAGTGTTTATAAAATTTATGCCATTGTTTGAAAGAACACATGCTTTAATTTATCTTTAAGAAGATATCAGTCTATCCTGTGGTGAAAACTATGTTTTTTATATTTTTAATGACTATCAACAATAAATTTAGATAGACATGTAAAAACAAAAGGAAAGATTGGTAGATAATGCCATGAAATTAACATAGAAAGCAAGTTTACAAAAAATATAATGATTTCATTGTCCAAAGTCAGTTAATATTCTATTTACATCGTCCTTTTGGTTGATTTCAAGTATACTATCCATCCATCCATCCATCCATCCATCCATTCATCCTTCGCTAAACTTGTGAAATTTATAATTATAACTTGAGCAAAGGTAAATAGATTTAATATACTTTGACAACAGTTAGTGAGAAAAATTTTCAGTAACTTTTTATACATTTGTCAGCTCCTCTGGGGTTGGATCTAGAAACTTCAGGAAATAATCTTTCAATATATAGAATTTCCTATTGAATGTTTCTGATTGATGAATGGGACTTCAATATAATTTATGCTGGATATTATAAAATTCTTCTGTTCTTGGTGTAATCATTTAAGTTTAAAACTAAAGAATAACTCTCATATTCAATTTATCAGGAGTAACATAAATCAATGCATAAATAATGGAAAAGCAAGTGTTCTATGAACATAAGCACAAACATTTAGTTCTGACTTACTAGCAGTATTAAAACCTACAGCCTATCTGTTAAGTAGGGAGCAAAGAAAGTGAGAACACTAGAACAAATCTAGTTTAGGCATTTCCAGAATTATCTGTAACGTATTATTATATTTTTTACATCAACACTATAGTAAATGCAAGTATAGATATTTGAGGGCATTGTTTTTCTATCCATGAAAAAAAAGTTAAATCTAATAAATATATAGAATATGTCTTCAAATAATTTGTAATAAATTATATGATTGGGAAAATATGGTTGGCAAAGTATTAGACATTCTAGATTACAGCATTTTGATCTTTGAGGAAAAAATAACAATCTTATTTGTACTAATAGCTTCATTAGAGATAATTATTGTGCTATATGTCTAGCTTAATTATTTTTTTACTTAACACTTTTATGCTCTGCGTATCTTCTATGGTACTATAGATAGTGAAGACTAACTTGACATACTACTTTATGTAAAAGCTGCTATTTTTTACATTGTATGTTAGTATTTAAAGTAGAAATTTGGATAAATTATACTGAGTTCAGTGAACTGTATATTTTTTGTTCTAAGTGTATCTTGTCTTTTGTTCCATTATAATCAAATGAAACACATTTTAAAATATGGAAATAGAATATTTAAGTGTTTTTGTTATTTTCTTCCCATAATAATATTAGTTATTTATTCAAAATTATATATATCTTCTTTCTCAGTGGGTTATATATCTTTGTGTAACAATGTTTAAGCAATACTTTGGAATGTCTTAAGTTAATCTGATTATATCACCAATTCTCTTGAAAGATTGAAATATAGCAGTGCAGAAAAATATAATACATTATCAGTTTATAGTCTTATTTAATATTTTATTTATTTGATAAGGACACTAATTACATAGTTAATAAATAGCATGCTAGATTGTTAACTTGTTTCCAAAGTATATGAAATTATAATTTCATTAATAAAATAATGGAAGTAGTATTTCCATATAGCAAGCCAGTTTGCTGTAGTGGTTAAGGCATCAGGGTAGAAACTGGGAAACTGTGACCTCTTCTCCCACCTAGGGCATAAAGCCAGGTAAGTTACCTTGTGCCGGTCACTTTTTCGCAGCTCTAGAAAATATGCAATGGCAAACCACATCTGAAAAAACTTGCCGAGAAAACTACAGGGACTTATACAGGTAGACTTTGAGAATTGGACACAATTGAATGGCAGAAAAAAATTTCTATATAACTAGACCTCTTAAGATTAGAGACATTTTTTAATAATTAGTTTACTAATTGCAGTGTAAGTGTGTAAGTTGATAAATACAGTACAACAAAGCAGCTCTTACCTAGAGGAAATATTTTGTGATTATATGGCTGCCTAATTTTTGATATCCTAATTCTGATAAAGACTTGGATTGCCTATGCATATAGTGTATCAAAACTCTAAAATTCTTCAGATAGGAAAAGAGAAATGGGTCAACTTAATTCCCCAAGATCTAAGGAAGGTCAGTATCACTTCATATAGTCTGACAGAGCAGATCATTACCAGTCACAAATCTGTTACATACCGAGAGTATATAGCAAAATAAATAGACTGTCTCATAAGTTCAGAAAATTGTGTGTTCGACCCATGATAATGTGTAAAGGGCGTTTAATAGAGTTCAGCATTTATTCGTTATCTGTATGTGGGCAGAGACGGCACTGCCGTTATCAGCTTCTTGGGAGGGAAATTCCGTGGTTCTCCATGTCACATGATCTGCCTCACAGACCCATGCACTCTCCGTGATGCAGTTTTGATTCTACTCAGAGGAGAAGGCTTAGTCACAAGAGATTCCACTGGTTCAAACCAGCGTAAACCAGATTTTTTTTTTGTCTACAAAGAAACAGATTACCGCTTGTATCAAGTGGAGGAGGGGAAGTAAAAGAGAAGAATCTTTGTTTCAAAAATATGCTGATTATTATAACCTGAAATTGTGTCTGCACACATATTTATGCTTTCTGATTAAGTTTGGCAGGGTTAGGATACTGCTTTTAAAAAGAGAAGTAGTAGCAAGTCATCAAGTGTCATAATTGTTAAATGAGGGAAAAATCTTTTGTTAATTTGAATGAATATCTTTCTGACATCATTTAAAAAAAGAAAACCACCCATTATTTAGCTTAGCTGTAAATCCTACGCAGAGCTTAAATTCAGCCATGCAGCACAAACAAGATAGAACTCTCTTTCGCTTTTTCTCTCTCTTTTTGACACCTATTGAAAAAACAAATGTGGAGCATTTTAAAACTTTCATTCACTATGGCAAAGTGTCATGCCCCAAATGGTTTCTATTGCAGAATAGTAGTTTTAAACTTTGCCCCTTAAACTATCATAGCCATTACATGAATGGTGACCTACAAAAGTGGATGGGGGCGAGCATAGTGATGCAGTAAACTTGCAAACCATCTTTTTGGGGAACTGAATGTTTATCTTTTGGGAGAAGCAAAGTGACGAAGAAGCAAGAGAGCGAACCAAAGAGTGATTGCAGAGTGCTTTTAATTTAAGAACAGGTGGGGCTGGATTAGAAAACATGCTTTTTCATTCATTTTTTCTCTTTAGAAAACTAGAGCTATTGAATGCAGCACTCTTCTTAAAAATTAAAATAATGTCTTCATTTTCATTTGCTTGGCATTATAAATGTTTAAATTCTAGATCAACAATGTGAGCATAAGGAATCATTTCAGTTATTTTTGTATATCTCTCTGTCTCTCTGTGTGTTTGTGGGTGCATGTGTGTATGTAGGAAAATGTTCTTCCTAAATTTACACCCTAATTCAAAATTATTTTTCATATGTATGAATACATTGGTAATGGCCGGTTGAAGAAGAAACCTTCTCAGTTATAAAATAACATATTCTCAATAAAGAAACTTTTTCCCTTCCATCATAACTAAAAATTTATGTCTGTGTTGCAAATAGACTGAGTGTATCTATACCTCAGCACAATTACAATAGTATTTAAAATACTATTTTAAATGAAGGTTATTATGCAGTATAGTTGACAAAATCAATTGAAGGGATTCACCTTTTGCTTAGTTAATTAGAATACAACTTTTGAAAGAGCAGAATAGTGAAATATAATAACTTTTTGAAGTAAATTCTCTTCAAAAGCATGAAGAATAGTGTAGTCAAAATGTCTACTAAAACAGTGTTCCTCAGTTATTTATATTATTTGAATACATAGTAATAATCTACAATATTAAATAGCGTAGACTAAGTAAATTTGGATTAAAAATAGTACAGTTTAAAATTGCACATAAGCTGGCATTTCTATAGCCATCAGTTATAGTTATTCTAGCTGATTTAGTAAGATAGATGTATAGAGAGACATAAAAAGGCAGAAGTCAGTACTAACAAAATAAAAAAAATGTAGAAATCTTGTATATACAAAATCACTTCAGCTGTACTATCTTAGAAGAGAGGAATAGTAAACTTGTTTTCTCCTTTTTGTATTATAGACTTCTATGAAGTCATTCCCCTTTATTTCATGATAGTGTCTTAGATGTGGTTTAAAAGAGAATTTCACACTATTCTCTTTGTTTAATGTGACAGTGTGCGAAAGTGATCTTTATTTGTTCAAAAAACTCTGCATGTAGTCTATGTTTAGGGTCTTTTAATGTGTTTGTCTGTGATTTTTAAATGCTAAACATGTAAACAGATAAATTGTCAATGTTAATTCTGTATCCTGTCACACAACTGATCTTTCTTTCCTGCCATTTCTTTCCTTTTTATCTTTTTCTGTGCATTCATGTTGCAGTTGATAAAATTACGTGAAGAGGTGAGTATTTTGTTGCCTAGCTTTTTCTTTAAAGCTAGCTTTTCATATCTGAATAAATCTTTTTGGTCACTTGCAGAGAAATCTGCAGAACGCATGCAATATATATCTATATATCTATATTTATCTATATCTATATCTCCTTAAAAATATTCTAGCACTATGTGACTCTTTTCTTTAATAATCATACATTTCATCAGAATCCCTAGGTCATACTTTTAAAATTACAATTCTTTAATAGCACTAAGAAAAAAGATAATTTAAAGTATCTGTAAAAGAAAACAAAAAATGCTAGTATTTGATATGTGTTTGAACACCATGTTGAAATCAGATCCTGTAATGATATCTGCACAACAGAAGGTACTGTAACAGTAGGGGGAAAAACCCTCTGCTTGAAAGGTACAAGGAATACCTCATTGTGTAGATCTACTGGCATACAAAACAATATGAAAATATTGCATGCACGTATACTGAACTGTAGATGTATGCTCAGTTGTGCTTCCTATATTTATTATTTATTTGTGCATATGCTGTAGTGAATGCAAATTAGAGTCCTTTTTCATTCTAGGAAATGACCAGAAGAGATAACAGTACTTCAAAAGTAATATCAATCATCAAATGATTATTTCTTGACATTTTCTAGAGTACTTTTCTTTTTTTAGATTTGTCCTTGGTTTTATTTTTTGCTTACACAATTCTCCCTCCCTCCCTCTCTCCCTCCCTCCCTCTCTCTCTCTCTCTCTCTCTCCCTCCGTGTGTGTGTGTGTGTGTGTGTGTGTGTGTATGAAGACAAAGAGTTTAAATAAAATTCTTATTCCTAGAATTTGGTATAGTAGAAGTTGCTAGGGAACCAGTTTTTTGAGATAGTGGCATAATAACATCTTTCAGTTCTTGGCAAAGAGAGACAGAACAACAAACTATGCTTGTTTATTCTTGTGGTATTTGGTGGATGACCTCTGTAATAAACTGCATGTTTTTCAAAAAGGTGAGACAGAGAGGGAATGATGCTTGTTCATTGAGAATAACCAAATACAAAAAAAAAAAAGATTTCCTTAATAAATCAAGATTTTTTTCATCAATCAAATAGTTTGAATTTCCTGCATCGATGTGAATTATAGATAGTAATTATCATTTTATCAATTTTTGAAAACTACTGTTATAAAAAGGCAACTGAGTAAACAGTTTCTTCAGCTCTATCCTTATTAATTAGCATCATCATCATATATGCTTATTTATACAGAATAATGTAATCAAAGTACAGACTTATACTAAAAATGTAGAATTCAGTTTTAATGGTAATAACAAGCACAAAGGAGAGTCAAATATAAAATAGAAAGGAAGGGAGGTGATGCTGATAGGAAAGCAA